GCGAGAGGTGTGCAGGCTACAGGGTAGAAATCAGCAATGTGATGGCTTCTGCCATCCCATTATCTGAGCCTGGTCCCCTCTTTGTCATCCCTAAACGACAAGTGCAGGATGAGAAGTGGGCACTGCCGCCGCGTAGCCGCAGGCTGTTTGTCCAAGCTATCTGTTGAATGCTTATAAATAACAAAGCTATTTGCATAAATAATTCATGTGCACACACAGCAACTGGCAGGAGGGAAGGGAAGAGGCTGCGAGCGCTGCACCGCGGTGCTGCCCTGTGCCCAGCTGGGAGCCCAGAGGGGGCACCAGGGCTGAATTCCCCCCCCCTGGGGACACCCCAGCAGCTCTCCCCCTGTAGTCCTGGTGCAGAGGGTCAGCTTGGGTTCCCCCATTAATCCCAGGGGATTTTTTTAATGTGTTTTTAACCAGGATGAGCTAATTGAATGGGGCTTTATGTATGTTCCTTGACTTGCTAGCACTTCATTTTGCTCTCCTGGCTCCAGAGCCTGCAGTACTCCCCTCCTGCCAGGTGCTCACAAGTGCAGGAAAGGACATGGACAGAGCAGGGAATGCCAGATCATTTTGGGGCACGGGGCGAGCGGCGTTCTCCAGAGAAGCCTCTCTGGGTTGTTTTCTTGCCTTCTGCTCCCTGACTCCTTCATTTACATTTATGTCACCTGCTGCCTTCGCTGCTCTGCTGCACCATTACGCTTCTGCTGTGGCCTGGGAGCCCCAATTCAAACCCACCGTGGGTCTGGAAGAGGAGGAGGAGGAGCTGGAGAGGGAGGAAGAGGCAGCGTGGGCTGTGCAGGAGCTGCGAGGGAGGATTTCAGAGAGCATTTTATGGCGGCCACTAAAAGTAAATGTGCCAGTGCCCTCCCTGGGAAAGAGACCATAAAAAGAAACAGCAGAATAGCTTTTTTTTTTTTGCTGTTTCATTTTCTACCAGGGCCGTGGGAATCAATTATTTAATGTGTACGGGGTGAGGAGCCGGGCACCGCAGGGACCACGTTGACCTGGAGCTCAAACAGCCGATGGTGGATGAGGACAGGACCCCGATGTCCCCCAGCACCAGCCCCGTCGTGGTCTCTTGTACCCCAGCCACGAGCCACTGCCCAGCGTGACAGAAGCCCACCTGAGTGGAGCACGGAGCAGCCACTTCTGGGAAAAAAAAGACAAAAAAAACAAACCCCAAAAAAAGGCAAGGAGAGCAGCGAGGCGGCTTGAGAAAGAAGCCGGCAGGCACGGCAGCAGAGGTCTGTGGAAAACCTTTGCATATCTAATCAGTCGCGGTTCAGAGTCCGGCCATGCAGCCATCAAAAGCGCCCACAGTTTTGCTTTTTAATGAGAGATTTTCATACATTAACACTTCATTAAGTCCGTAGCTAAGTCATTTTCAGGTCAATTTAAAACACCAACGCCGCCTGGCCCGGACTCTCGCCTGCTTCTTAAGACACCCGCTGGCAGCCCCCCTGCATCCCTCTCTGCCCCCGCCAGCTGTCACAGCAGGAGCAGAGCTGATTTGGGATGATTTGGGGTTCGGGGTGGGTTCATGGCTCTGCACCTCCCCAGCCCCATAAATGCTGGGGGCTCCTCTGTACACCACAGGAGCTCGGGGCCCCCCCTGCCTTCACAAAATGCTTTCTCAGCACTCTTGATTTGGGGCTGCGGGTTGGGGGGCCCTACAAAGTGGGTGAAGGACAGCTGAAGACTTCACCATGAGCATCCCACGGGACCCCATGGGATGACCCAGGTGCCATGTATCAGCCCCCAGCTGCGTTTTGCTGCTTGCTTATAAGGGCACTGCGAAGATCCATGCCCTGCTGTCAACGTCTGGCTCGCTCCTAACATTCATGAGATGTTTTTAATTAGAATTTTTTATTTTAAAATAAATCCCCCAAAGCTGAAACTGTTCAGAAGACTACCGTCTGCCATCCTGAAGTGATACAAGCTGCAGTCATAACAAGGCAGGGAAACCTCCCTGAGCAATGAGTGTGTGTACAGCAATGTACATGCAGGAAAGCAGAGTGAACCTGTGGCTGCTCCCAGCTGTGATTTACTACCACTTCTTTTATAAATTAAATATAGCTGTAAGTTAGCTCTTCAGCATAAAGATGGAGAGATAGGGGTGGGCACAGACAGGGGCACGCTGCGTCCGAGAATTACTCTCAGGAAATATTGCTCCATTTGCCCTTTTAAACAGCCATTTCAGCTTATTACGGAGCATATTGCTGTGGCTTCTTAGAAATCCTTCACCTATGCAGCAATCCTTGGCCTCTCCCTCCCATTAAAGGATTGCAGTGCACATCAGCAGTGTTATTAAATTAAGCCTCAAAAAATTGGAGGGGCGTGTTGGCACCTTTCAGAGGGAGATAAGGTTGGCAGAAGGTTAAGTGGCAGAGGCAGGGCACGGCCGTGCTCCATCCCACCCAGAGCAGCAGTCCCTTCCCCGGGATGGACAGCCCAAGGAGCACCTCACGTTTCTTAGGTCCAATTTGTTTTTTTTCCCCTCTCATCACCTCCTTCCAAACGGTTTGGCTAATTGGAGGTGGAGGGAGCAGGCAGAGCTCAACCCTCGCCATCGTGAGCTGGGGCTGCAGCAGGAGAAGCCCTGATCCACCCCTGGTGGCATCTCGGATGAGATGTGTCCCCTCTGCCCCAACTGGGAACGGGCAATCCCCAGGGCTGCACAATCCTTCAGTCTCATCAGTGCAGGGCCAGGAAACCTGATGGGCTCCCCGTGACAGCTCGTCTCCGTGGCTTTTTGTTGCAGAAGGGATGGTGACAAATAAGTCTGTAATATTCCTGGCCCCTGCCCTCTCCTGCTGCCTTGACACCCAACAAGCATGGCACCGTCATGGTTAGAAATGTAATTTAGGTGATGGATGGGCTCTGCTCAATTCCTGTAATATCCTCATGAAATTTTTAAGCAGTGCACGTTACCTTGTTATAAATAGCTGCCTGTTCGGGGCACCCCGTGCACTGCAGGGGACAAACGTGAAATGCTGGAGGGGTCGGTGGCATGGCAGGGAAACCAACCCCTCCTTTAGGGAAATGGGACAAAAACTGATGGAGATGCACAGGGACAGGCCTTGCACGTTTTTGGGAAGAGGCACACGACACGGTGCAGTCCTGCGTGGTGCTGGCACGCGAGGCGAGCCGAGGGCTCCCGGGTCTGCAGCCTGCTGCAGGAGGCAAATCCACCATTAAGCAGCTTTGCAGCATTAGCGAGGCTAATTCTTTTACCGGGCTGGAGCGTTTTATTTCGATACCGCAAAGAAGGTCTAATACCATCTGAGCAACTTCGGCAGGCACAGCCCGTGGCCCAAACCCAGCCTCAGAGCAATAATTTCCTAGGGGTACCGAGCTCCAGCTCACAGGAGGGGCAGCGAGAGCCTTCCTCCCCCCCGATGATGCCCCGAGGCTGGAGGTCAGGCAGTGTTTATGGCCCCGGCAGTCAGCCCTTCTCTTGGCATGCTGGTGGCAACGGCAGAGCTGTTTCGGGAGAGCATTACCCGGGGTGATGGATGGGGGCTGTCATTAGTGCTTCGGTTCCTGCTCCTCTGCTGCCCGCTGCACGGGGGAAAAAAAAAAAAGGCCATGCACTTACTGGGCTTATTTACGCGCTGTGACCATGCAGGGATGCACACACAAACTGGGTTTCGGCCTCTGCTTCCCCTGGCCAGCAGTTTCTACCCACTGCTGGGAATCTGATGGCACTGAGTGGCTCTAAATAGATTTGTCCCCAGGACGCCTGCTCGGCTCATCCAGGGCTCATCCTGAAACGCGAGCCAGCCTTCCCAGGCCGTTCTCTGCGATTTTCCAGCTGCAGAGGAGAAGCAGGCAGGGAATTATTCGGCGGCATATTGGGGATAGGTGTTGTGGGCAGAGAAAGGGACGGAGATGCCATCGGTTCCCCGCGCCGCTGAGGCACATGGCAGGAGGTGTTTGCTGGGCTCGGCTGGATGCCTGAGCAGAGGACGGCTTCCCAGAGCAGAGCGTTTGACAGATACTAAAAAAAAAAAAGTCAAATCCCTTCGATTTTTAAATGTCGGGGTCCTGATCCCGTAACACTGTCTGCATTGTGTCCCTGTGTCCTCTGCCTGATGGTGCCAAGGCGTAGCCAGCCTGTGGGAAAGGTGCCAGACTTGCAGGGATGTGAAGCACAGGGAGGGATTTGTCAAAGGCACCCTGGAAATTTCCCTTCCCTTCCCACAAGCACCAAGCCATTGCTGCCTGCAGCATCTCCACTGAAGATTTAGCCCCCAATATTTCCTCCGAGTTGCTCAATCTGCTCTCGCTGCCCATAATCTCCGTGCTCATTACTCCAGCCTGGCTCTGCCACCGCAGCAGAGAGCCGAGAGGTGACGGAGGAGCAGGCTTTGGGGCTTGCTGGCTGCAGCTGGCACATTGAAGCAGATTATTCTGGCCGGATTTGCTTTTCAAAGCCTGGGAAGTTCGGCGGGGTTGTTACGTTTAACTGCCCCCCGTGCGCACTGAATTGTTCCTGGCCGGCTGAAAACCTTTTGCTACACAAAGTAATCTTCTGCTAGGGAAGCTTTTGCTGGGCGAAGCATGGCTCGTTGGTAAAATCAAGCCAATGGGATTGTAGGTATTGATTTTTTCCTACATCTACCACTATTTGAGTGCCTAGAAAACATTCCTGTAGCAAATGATAGTCACTTTGGGGCAGCCTTGTAATTGTGGGAGCTCAGCAGACACTTTCCCTGAATGCAGCCTACTTGTCCCACCAGCAAATTTGTCAGAGATTGAAAGCAGCTGCTTAAAACCTGCGTACACACACCACAAAACAGCCCAGCAGCCAGGCAGCAGCCTGCCCTCTCTTAGAGGCTGCGTGGGTCACGAGCAGAAAAGCGTTTCCTTCCCCATGGCTTTTGGACAAGGGGTAGGAAGCACAAACAGCCCAGGATGACAACAAAATAATGTCCCAAAACCCTGCTGGGTACCGATGCTGTGCCCTGGGTGTGGATTTCTTAGGAAACCCTCCCGGTGCTGGGCCATCCACAGCACCCCTGGCTCGTCCTCTGCCAGGATCAGCCCCTTGCAGCATCTGCTGAGGTTCTCGTCTGGAGCTCATTAGCTCCAGCAGGCACGAGGAGACCCAATCAACATTATTTAATTTATAAACAGGAAGCAGCTGGCCCCTTCTTTGCATATGGAGCTAATTTTAAAATACATTCACCCACCCCGGGGTGGGAGGCAGCACAGGTTGGGCAGTGCCCAGCCAAGTGCTCCGAGGGGGTTATAAAGCAGAGGGTGCTTTCAGGGTGGCTGTTTCCACTCCTTAAAACCATCTCTGTGTTGCTGTGCTGGTTTGGAGAGCCCCTTTGGGTAAGAATTCCTGGTGTGGGGACCCTGGCTTTTTGGGGAAGATGGGCAGGGAGGTTTGAGGGGGGGGTCAGAGGGGTTGTGCCCTCTCTGGTGCTGTCCTGTGGTGACCTCCAGCAGGGCACTGCTGTTTTGGGAACCATCCGTTGCTGTCCCTGGTGATTTGTCCTCTATCTCAGAGCCATCACAGGCTTTGCTGGCTCCTTCAGCTCTCCAGCCCACGTCCTGCCAAGCAGAAGGGCAGCAGGATGAGCCGGACAGGGTTTGCCAGGACACGTTACGCCTGCCCTGGAAGGGCAAAAATCCAGCTTGCCCTTGCCTGGTGCACACCTTGGCACCACAGCTGATGTTTTCTTCCATCTGGGAGCTGTTTTGTGCTGTTCCCAGCCCCAAACCCATCTGCTGAGCCCACCTGCAGGAGGGATGGGGCTGTCAGCATCCCCCGTGCTGCCTGGGTCGGGCGCCTGCTGGAGGAGGCTGGGGCTGCTCAGCCCCCCGATGGAAAGCCAAAAAATCCCAGGTGATGGGGAAGGAGAGGTGCACAGAGGAGGAGGCTGGGGGTGGCTTTTTGTCTCCAAAAAGAAGGATTTTTTATTGCTGCTGTGCTGCAGCTCAGCTGGAAGCACCTCAATGCCTGGCTTCCCGTACTCTGCACTCCCAGCAGGGAGAGAAACCGGCTTCATCACGGCTTACACACACACCACCCCCAGATGTTGGGCTGCTTTGAGACACCTGAAGGCTATTTCGGTCTCAAGATGAGCTTTAGCAGCTCCTGGGCTGTCCTCCCTGCTGCTCCTGCTCATGGGGTCGGGCTGGGGGTGAGCAGCGACAGCGCCGGCTGCTTTTGAGACCGGTGAGATGGGGGCTGGATCCCGGGCAGGGAAAGCAGGCAGCGTGCCGGGGATGCGATTAACATTCAGGAGCTCAGGCAGCAGGCACGGAGCTCGGGTTATTCCGAACAGATAAACACCATCTGCGCCCTCGGAGCAGGGCAGGTTGCGATGCCTGCTCCCAGGAGCCGGTGGTGCCCTTGAAATCTGCCCCTGGATGGGTGATGCTGGGCTGGTGGATGCCCTGCTGGGAGGAGCAGCACCGGGGGACAGAGGGGATGGAGCTGAGAGCCCCCTGCCCCTGGGAATGCTGTCACTGGTATGGGGGTACTGGGCCATGCTGGGATCTGGTTGTGCCCTCAGCACTGGTGTCGCAGGGGATGCTCAGGCTTAGCTGGAAGGCTTTGGTAAAGGTGCCCAAAAAAAGTAATTTTTACATCCCACTTGAGATATTCTCTCAGCTTCACAAAGGGCTTTTTTTTTTCTCCTTTTTCCCCTCCAAAAAAAGGCGAAGGAAAGGAAAAAAATACAGGAAACAGCGGACAGAGCAACTTTTTCCACCTCTTCCCCATTTATCACCCTGAAGACTAAAGCTTGTGGATGCCTTAGCCTACATTTAAATGCCAGGATCTATTTTTTTTTTTTTTTTTTTTTCCTCTAACCTAGTTACTTCCCCATCAATGCAGCCTGCCCTGGAGGTGTGAGAGCTGCAGTGAGCGGCACCGCAGCCTGCTGAGACCCAGCTCAACCATGGGGATCCAGCAGCCCTGGGGCCGGGCTGAGATGGAGAGGTGCAGGAATTAATGCCCAAAAGGGGTGGAATATTTCATTAGGAAGTCTGAAGAAAAATAAACGTAAAAATAATTTACAGAAATGAGGAGATAGACCGAGGAGGTGGTGTGACCCCGTGGCCAGCTCTGTCTCCATCCTCTGCTGGTGTGGGAGCATCACATCCCCAAATCTTCCTCCCAGGGTCCCTGGCAGGACCAGGGGTCTCTCCCTCTTGCTCCCCTTGCACCAGAAGCCCGCAGGCAGGTGCTGGTCGTGGTCCAGGACCAAGGCATTCAGCCCCAGACAGCTCTATTCCTCACCTTAATTAAATTAGGGCTCTTCATAAAGTAATAACCAACTTTCTTCCCGGTCACTCATCATTTATTCATGCAAGCGCTCATTATTTTTGAAATCCCTTTGCTTCTCCCCTCTCCCCCCAAAAAGGTGCTCATCTTTAAGTCTTAATTATCGGCCAAAGCCCAGATCCTGGCGAGTGTTTCATTCCTCAGAGCGAGGCCATTTGAACTCTGCCATCGCCGCCTTCAGAGGCATCAGCCTTGCGCCGAACCTGCTCCATCGCCATTAGCATACGTGGTAATTTATACGGCTGTTTTAATTGAGTGCTCAGACCTCGGGGTCACGTATGGAAATTAAACAATACGAGGAGCGGCTCCAGCCACTTCGGGGGCTGCGAGCGTGCACGCAGACGCCCACACAAGCGCGGAGACCTGGGGAGCAGAAGGAGGATGCTGATGGTGTGAGGAAGGAGCCGAGAGGTCCCTGCTGCCCACGATGGGGTGGAGGAGATGGAAACACCCCAGGAAAACGCAGGGAAACTGAGGCAAGCTCACTGGTGGCTGCTGCGTTTTGCCCTGCAGATCCCTGTCTTGGTTTGTTTTCCCTGCTTGGCACCGTTTTGGGAAACGTGCAAATAATAATAAGCATTAAATGCTATAATACGCCGTGATCCGATGACTCATGGGTTAATTCTCACTCAAAACCAGACATTTATTCCCGGAATGTAAAACATTTTAACAATATTAGTCGTGAAAAAGGAATGGGGGCTCTTTTTTGTCAGGATTGTGTTTTTTAAGTTCCATTAATTCTTTGTTCAATTGATGCATATTCAAAACGGTATAAGTGGGGCCCTCACTGCTTCAATTAGCATTAATGCACAATTATTTTTCTCCATATTTATGCTGCTCTTTGCAGGGCACGGTTTTTGGTTGTTGTTGTTGCTGGGCTTTTTTAACATTTGTATGTTAATTCAGCGTTTAAAAGATCTTCTCCCCAAACTGCTCGCGTGGTGATAAAGTAGAATGAGAGGGCGAGAGATTTGTGGCTAAAACACCAGAGGAAGAAAAGGCTGTCTGTCAAAGCAGGAGCTAAATCCTGGCTTTTACCAGACCGTAGGATATAATTGCATCTAAGGTGGAGATCTCACAGAATTTATTCATCCCTGTTGGGCAGGACCTGGCACCGAACAACCCGGGGGTGCCAGGGGTTGGGGTGTGGGTCCAGCCCCCAGCTCCTCACCATTCCCCACCTGCTGCTGGAGCAGCTCCGTGCGCGCGGGAGGGGAGAGCTCGAGGTTTGGGCAACCCGAGATGAAATTGGGGCAGCTCTCCTTGCGCGGTGACTTTTTTTTTTTTTGCCTGGAGGAGCTGCTAAATTTCACAGCGCTGGTCGTCACCTCCTGCCCACGCAGAGGAGGCAGCAAGCTTTCCCCATCCCTCATCATTAGAGATGCGCAAGGCTCAATTTTTAAATACTTCTTTCTGTAATCAAGTGTTTGTGTGTTTTGTGTTGGTTTTTTTTTTTTTTTTTTTTCCTTTTTGAAGGAAAATCTTTCCCTGCTGGCCTTTCACAGCACCCAGTTTGAAGCTGTGCCCCCACAATGCTGGGGTTCAGAGGAGGAAACGTCCCCCAGCCCCTCAGGGCACAGCCAGGATCCGGCACAGAGCAAGGGGCTGGTGCAGGACCCAGCGTGGTTTGTGATGATGCTGCGTGGGCTTGTGGTGCTGCTGAACGTCCTCCCATTCCCTTCCCGGCAGCTCTGCTTAGCAGCTGCTAAAGAAACCTTATTCCGAGGCTAGAGAACAGGCTCTTTTCCTCAGGGCTCTGGGGAGCTGCGCAGGCAAACTGCTGATCCATCTTCCCCGGCCCTTTGGCAGCGAGCTGGCTGGGAAGGAGCAGAGCTGAGCCCCACCAATGCTTCTGAGCGGTGTTTTAGAAGGGAAATCTTTCCAGCTCCCCCCCCCGTGAGGGTGGTGAGCCTGCTGCCCCATCCCCTGAGAGGTTGTAGGGTTCCCCTGCAGGGGGAGGCTGTCGCTAGTAGGGCTCCAGCCATGAGCGAGCTGCTGCTGGCATCCCAAAATCATGTGCTGCTCCTTGGCAGGGCATGGAAGGTTTAGCTATGACCCTGGGGACGTTACACCTGGGCAAGTGATGGAGATGTCCCCATGGAAAGGGCCAAGTGGCTGGTTCAGGTCCTCACTTCTCCTTTTTTGCTCCACCACTGTTTTCCCTGGGATCCCTGCACCCATCCGCGTGCTGCTGCTTAATGTTCCCAGCACAGCCAAAGCTGCTGTAGGATTCCCTCAGCTGAGCCAAAAAGAGGAAGCCAGGAAGCCCTCCCTTTCCCACTCAGCTCCATAAATCCTGCAGTGGTGCTGAGCCTCTTGAGCCAAAAGCTGGTGGCTGGGAAAACCCCAGCCTGAGCACCCTGTGCACAGCTCCAGCTTGTGTCCTTCACCCCACGAGCATGCAGAAAGTCAGAGGGCAGCAAATATCATTTCCAGGTGCCTTCTCCTAGCACAAAATGACACCTTTCTGGCAGGGGAGCAAGCAGGACAATGCTGCAGGTAATGCCTGCCCGAGCTAACCAGGGCAGCACCAGCTCAGGGTTGTGGCCCAGGGTAAAAACAGGGCCAGGATCACCTCGGGTAGGAGGAGATCTGCTCAGATCCACTGCAGGAACACGGAGCCCTGGTCCTGCACGTGGCTGCAGGCCAAGTCCTTGCCCAGCATCAGGCAGGGTCCCTCCGTCCGACACGTTGATGGAGGATTTAGGACTTAATTTCCCATTAAATACATACAGGCTAAAAAGGGCCGAGGGGATTTCTCGTGCCAAAGAACGTCTGCGATAGTGAGACGTGCAGTCAGGGGCACGGATATTTATAGATTCATTTAGTTTGGCTCCCTTTAAGCATTTCGGAGGCATTCCTCTGTGCGCTGCGAGTTGATTTCTGTCAAAAGCCACGAGCTCGAGCAGTCAGGAGAGCAGAGCTGGGGGCACACGCTGGGGACACCCAGACTGTGCTGGAGGGGACATCGAGGTGCTGCACCCCTGCTAGGGTGCGGTGCTGGGACCTCAGGGACCCTCCTGGGGCAGGGAGAGGGATAAGGGGTGCAGGAAGGGGCTGGCTGCGGGGCAGCTGGGTGATATTAAGCTCAGGGGATATTATTTAAAGTGCAGTGCTGTGAGCCAGGGCTGAAAGGAGCCCCGAGACAGGCCCAGGGGTGTAAACCCAGAGGTTTTCATCCCAACCACCCAGCCCTGCAGTGTTTGCCCTCTAAAGCTGATTTTCCCAACAGGGCACAAGTGATCCTGGGAGCCAGCGATGGTTTTCCCACTCTGGGCAAGCAGCAGGAGCTGCAGCTTCAGTGCTGAAGAATTTGAGGTTCAAGCCTCATCCTTAGCTCATCAAATTCCCTCATGCAGAAAACATTTAAATATTGGGGCCCTGTTGATGCAGGCTGCCGGGGAGGTGTGCGTGAGTGCTTCCCCTATTCCCTAATCTGTCATAATGAGCCCCAGCAGCTCAGCATCATTTCATGCACCTTGCAATGGGATTGGGAGCAAAATGCACCCAGGGCTGAGCGTGGGCAGCGCTGGGGACACTGTGCAAGGACAAGTCACCAGCCCAGCACTGAGGGAGACACAGCTTAACTTGAAAATAAGCAAGAAAATAAGAATTTTAGGTATTAGCTGGCAATCCCTGATTGATGGTTTGAAAATGCCACTGCAGCGCGTTCCCGTGGCTCTGAACTTTGCCAAACGTCTCCCGTCGCTCGGGACAGATCCTAACGGAAAGGTCTCACGTTCCTAATTTCATAGTTCAGTGTATTAGAAAATAGGAGGAGGGCTTGTGAGGAGAAGGAAATGCTTTAAAGCACCTGATGGCTGAGCAGTAAAAACGAGACACCCATTTCTCAGGAGCTCGGTGCTCAGCGCGGTATCGGTGAAGGGGTCAGGAGGTTCCTGGCCCCCCGGGAAGGGCAGCGTGCCCCAGGGGCTGCCGATGCCCCCATTTTGGGCACCTCCACATCATTTGGCTGCAGGCTCCTGCCTGTTGCCCCTGAGAGCAGAGGCGCTGGGACAGCCCTGTCCCCGTACCCAAACCCAGAGAAATTTGGGGTCATTTCGGTCGAGGCAGGAGGCTGGAAGGAGACCCCAAGGAGGATGCGAGCAAACCCCTCCGGGTAAAGGAAGGGAGAAGCTGCTCTGGCATCGCCCCCAGCCCCAGGGGGGGCAGCGGGCAGCCCTAAAAAACCCCTTGGGGTACGGGGAGCCTCGCCCCGAAGGCTGCGGAGCGGGGAGCGGGGGAGCGGCCGCAGCCTCGTCGGCGGAGCTCGGCTCCCCCCTAGCGTCGGCCTGGGGATGGGCAGGGCCGGGGCCGTCCTCCCCCACCGCCCCCAGCCCCAAAGCTGCGGGGTGCGAGGCTCGGCCCGGCGCTGGGGAGCTGGGAGGGCAGGAGGGGAGCTGGGAGGGATGGGGGCGAGCTGGAGAGGAGACGCAAGGCGCAGGTACCCCGAGCATCCCCTCCCTCTCCCAGCCAGGGAGCCCCCAGCAGCAATGTGGGGTTGGGGGTGAAGCCTCCAGCCTCCCCAGCCTCCATCCTCCAGCTTCCAGCCTCCAGCCTCCCCAAAATCCATCTTCCCCAACCTCCAGGTTCCAGTCTCCAGCCACCCCAGTTTCCAGTCCCCATCCTCTCCAGCCTCCAACTCCAGCCTCCAGCCTCCCCAAAATCCATCTTCCCCAGCCTCCAGCCTCCCCAGCCTCCAGTCTCCAGCCTCCCCACTCTACAGCCCCCACCCTCTCCAGCCTCCAACTCCAGCCTCCATCCCGGATCTGCAGAGCCTGCAGCAGGGTGCCAGGTACCTGCCCTAACCAAAACCCACCGGCCGGCCATGTCCTGCCAAAACACCAGAGCAGACGTGAGCCAGCAGAGCGAATTCACCCCAGCTCAGCACACAGCATCATGCAGCCACTGCGGGTTCTTTATCTGGCGCTGGGAGCCCTGAAGCTGGATTTACAGGGCCATGAAACCCCTGTGCCTGCTCTCTAGAGATAGGGAAGGAGTTTATCCCAGGAGGAGCAGAGCGCCTTTCAATCCATCTCTATGGGAGGATGGGTTTTAATGGGAAGCATTGTGCTGCTCCTGTCCCGTAACGCTATTGACACGGTCTCTTTAGATTTTGGCTCGCCTTTACCTCCACCAACACGCAGCACAGCAGACACAGGCACTACGAGCAGTCTGCACCACTATTTATGTACATGCAAATCCCCTCACGTTGAGGCAAACCGAGAAAATCCGTCTCCATCTTGATCCAAATCCCTAGAAAAAAAAAATGATCCTTCTGCGTCCCGCTGTCCCCCTAAGCACCTTTGTTGGGCTCTCTGAAATACGGACCCCGTGGCTGAGACATCCAGGATTTAATGCAATGGAGGCAGCAAAGAAAGAAAGAAACAGGGCAGAGGGCAGGGAGTTAATGCAAAATGTTATTGTTTCTCATGGTACCAAGGAAAAAATATTGACCTGAAATAAGCAAGAGAAATACCAAGCTGGGCTGGGGAGAAAAACGGCTGAGCAGTGGGCAGAAATCCCCAGGGGATGCAGGACTGGGTGCTGGGGAGGTGTAAAGGAGGAGAAGCTGGTAAAGGGTGTAAAGGAGCCTGGCTTGGGCTTTCCTAACACCTCGTGCCTGTAATTCTGATCACCAAAATGAATCCTGTGCAGTGCCCCCGGGGATTCGTTGCGCCCTTGAGCATAGCCGGGGGTTGTGCCGTGCCCCCCCTGGGCACCCGGGTGCGGTTGCAACCAGAGCCAGAGAAAGCAGAAATGAGAAAATCAGATCTGATTGAAACTCCGGGGAGAATCTAGGCCGCTCATGCAGAATTAATCCATCAGGAAAAAACGAGGCTGGCGTTAATGAGGGAACCCACTGGAGCGGCCAACAAGCCGGGAGCCCTGCAGCAGCCACGAGGTAGGGCTCAGCCCCGGCTGCTGCA